AATCAGATTGAGAAGCCTACTTTTCTGAGCTGGGGCTGACCTGGCAATGGCCTGTTCCATAATTTCTGTTGTGCTGGTATCCAAGATCTTAGGGCTGTAGCTTGTTCCGTGTTCCCATGTGTTAAACAGTGAACACCCTCTGGGAATAGACTGCCCTTTTCATCATTTGGGTAGGAATTCTAGAGCATGGAAATGTCCTAATTTGCTATTGCTGCATCAGCATAATGAGTCAGATTTAGGTCCTAAGGGAGAATAATAACACTCAGCACTTATACAACACACTTTTCATCTTCAGGGCCTTCAGCATTGGGCTGTAATGTTATATTTCTCTCAGCAAGACAAAGGAGTTCATTTTTGGTCTGTTCAATTCTCCTTTTTCTTACACATACCTGCACAGACATTCTCATATGACTGCTATCATATGATAAAGCTTTCTCCTACTACCTTTTTAAAAAAGGAAATCAAATGGAAAAGGTCAGTTCAACCTTCTCTTTTCCTTTTTTGGTTTTGGTTTTGGTATGTCCTCTATTATGGAACACAAAATCAGCCTGCTGATTGCACGTAATTACAGTCCATTCAGCATTCCTGCTGGGATTCCCATATTTGACTTGATACCCCAGGAGTGTTCTGCGTCATCTCTGGCCACAGGGTGTTCTGCGTCATCTGTGGCCACTGAACAGAGTTGAACACACAGTCTGTCAAGTTCCATGTTCTGATCTCTTTGCTGTTTCACCTCTATTCATTCCTGGCCTAGGAGATTCCACCAAATTTCGTGTGTCTAAACACCACTTATATGCCAATGACTCCCAGATTTATATCTCCAGATGGGCCACCTCCTCCTGAATTACAGCCTTATATATTCATCTGCCCACTCAGTATCTCCACTTAACAAGTCTAAAACAACCTCCTCAATTTTATCCTCAAACCTGCTCCTCATGATGGCAACTACATCCTTCTAGTTGCTTAGACCAAATACCTGGTTCATCCTTGAGTCCATTCTTTCTGTTACTCCCCAGATCTAATCCACTAGCAATTCCTGTTGGCTCTGTTTAAAATAGATCCAGAACCTAACTATGCCCTCCATCTCTACCTTAAACCAATCTGCCATCATCTTTAATTTAGATGGTCTCTCTTTGCTATTGCCCTTAAACAGTTTACTTTCAACTGAGGAACCAAAGAGATCTTTCCAATATATAAGTCAGATGCTATTGCTATGTCCAGTGGTTCCCCATCTTATCTGAGTAAAAGCCAAAGTCTACAAAGCCTTCCTGGATTTGCTGTCCCACATCCACTCTTTAGCATTATTACATACCTTCCTTCTTGCAATTCCTCCAACCCACAGAGCATCTGCCAGCCTCAGGGCTTTGCACTAATTGCTCTCTCCACCTGGAACACTCTTCTCACCAGCACACACTTGGTTCAGGCCTCCTCCTCCTTCAGGTCTCTGTTGTATGTCCACTTACCAGCAAACTACCCTCTCTGACTACCCGCAGCACTCCCTGTGCCCTTCCCTGCTATATTTTTTTCCACAGCACTTAGCACCTTGTCATACATTTTATTGTTTTTACCTGCTTATTGTTTGTCTTGCCCATGAGAAATAAGGTACCCAAAGACAGTGTTTTGTTTTGTTTTGTTTTGTTTTGTTTTTAATCAGCTTTAGTCTGTGATATATTCACCAGTGCACTGGACAGTGCCTGGAATATGGGGGGGGTGGCACTGGAAATATTTATTGCATGAATAAGTGATGAGCTAGAGTTTCTCATCTGTTTCAGGACATGGTCTAACCTGATTTCTAAGCCATAGGCAAAAGGAGATTTGTGAGGCCTGCTAGTGATGAGTGTTTTCCAAGGGAAAAAATATTTTATCAAAGAGTTTTGAAGCTATGAGCTTATATTAATCTGGAAGATTAAGGCAATTGTGGAATGTGTTGTCTGCTACATATGATATGAATACAGATATTGGGGCTCTTCCCATTGATCATGACTTGCCTCTAGCCTGTCTTCCTTCTATACACACATTGGGATGTTTTTGGAAAAGGATGTCAGGATTAGAAATAGTCTGTAGGACAGAATTTTTCCCAATAGGCAGCTACGCAGGCTAAGCAAGAATCAAGTCTCTATTTGCTCTTTAATAAAGAATTTTCTAGTCAAAACTGAGGCTAGAAATTTAAAGATAGAGGGAAGGACTGGCCCAAACTTTCCAATATTTTTGTATAAAATACTTAGAAAGCTCAAGCAAGAATCTTTTTAACCAAATTCTCCAGATAAATTAATCCATCTTCCATTTCACTAAAACTTGAAGAAACTAATGCAAGTCTTCTATTAAAAGACTTAGAGAAAAATATATTAGAAGAGTTGGAAACACAGAATTAAAAAGATAATTATATGAGTATGGATCAAAAGGAAGGAAAGAGAAGAGGGCACTCAATAGTAATGAGGGTACACACTGAATTAAGAGCTTGTATTGCTATTTTCCAAGCAGAGAATAAATGAAGTAGAAGCTGGGGGGCAGTGTGCCAAAAATGTTGGTAGTTGGAGAAATGTGATCAAAATGGTGGGTAAAAGTGTACCAGCAGATAGGAAAACGTCTCCAGCTCCTCATTTGAACATCCTATGGCTTCCAAAGAAATGCTAGGGCAGAAATCACCAACATAGCCCATTTGGCTACTGGGTGAGTTAACATGCATTCGGCCTCAAGAAGATACCTCCTTGTGTAGCCATGGCCAACAGAAGCTGGGTTTGGTCCTCTGTTTGAATGAGGCAAGAGTGAAGGATACCACAACAGCTTGAATGCTGTCCAGCTCTCAGTCTATGCGAGCAAAGGTGGGACTCGAGAGAGTGGTCTCCTGAGAGGTCCACCCAAAACCACAGGGGAAGGTGGCTGAAGGATCCCCCACCCACATACCCATCATGAAACCGTCACATGGCTAAAAGCAACTTAAAGACACATTTAAAAACCATTTAAAAATACATATTTCTACAACTATAATAGTCCTCTTTCTCAAGTTTGCTTGCTTAATTACTTTTATTTTTAAAGTTTATTTCTATTCTTTTTCAACCTACAGGGAATCAAAAGCAACTCACACTCACAAAAAAATGTATAGCATGAAAATTTTTTTAAATTAAAAATCAGGTCCAGAGGAAAAACAAACTGGAACTGAAAAGTCTAATTGGGGGTGGGGCAAAGAGAGGGGAGTAAACCATGCTCATCGGAGTGTTCTAAAAAGTTTTCAGTTGAGCAGTAAACTTGGCTTTTTGTTAACCAAGCAGTCAAAGCAAAAAGAGAAACAGAGCCAGTTACATGATTCTTATGTCCATGAGGAGAAAATATTTCAGTTCCTCCGGGGAAGCAGACTATTTCCTGGAATTCAGACCTGCAAGAATTTCCTCCCATGGGGCTTCATATAGACGGTCATGAGCACAATGTAAAGGAGAACATCTAAGACCACACCCCTGGCACGGGCTTCCTAAAGCTGTCCTTGGTAAATGTCTTTAGGAAAATCTATGGCATACACTTCAGTTAAAACCATTCTATCAGAAACGAAGACAATATGAACGAAGTACACACCTTTCTTATAGTTCAGTTTAATCTAAGAAGCCAGCCTTGACTATCTCAATGAATTGCTCAGTCTTTATATACACTACATCTACTAGGAGAGCTAAATTTATTACTCAACCAGAGGAAATTTACTAGACTTTCTGACTCTTATTCTTCCTTGCTATTTTCATGTTTTTATTTAAAATCTATTTTGACTGCAATGAAACAGAGAATGTGCACCTTCTATTTTCATTGAGTTAAAAATTTTTACGTGCTAGGAACAGCACCTGGCAAATAAGTGTTTGTTTAAAAAATGTCCTTCATATCATGGGGTGGGATGGCACCAAGTATGAATGACAAATTAATTATAAATAAGTAAAATGAGTTGACTGGGATTTTGTACCCTTCCTGTAACTTTCAGCTGTTTTCCTGATTTTTCCTAAAGCAGTACAGACTGAATACAAGCCCTTGACTATTTTGATGTGAGAATGTGACATGAAAAATCTGGTGGAAGGGGATTATTATAATTTCGCACAGAGAAGGATTCAAAGGTTTTGAAACACTAAGAGAACTATCAGAGCTTTTTAAAATTTCTTCTCCAGATAGAACAGCTGGAACTTCAGAATTCACTATGACCTAGCTGGTCCTTCCTTTTAACCAACTTTCCCATTTTAAGTCTCTTTCATGGAATGTGTCTAATTTGTTGTTCAGTACATTATGGACATTCAATAATGCTCTGTCATAACAATAAGAAAAATGCTAAAAAGCTCTGTTACCACATTTACTTGTGACCCCACTTCCTTTTCTTAGTCTTATAAAGTGATCTCAAAATGCAAGCACATTATAATAAAACTGAATATATCCTAGAGGGATTCATAAAGTAGATTTTCTACATTTTTAAGAATAAATATTCCACACTTATTCCACATTAACCTATTTGTCTCAACAATAACAGATTTTCAATAATATGACTAGGAAGTAATTGTGAACCTGGTGGAGAGCTACCAGGAAGATTACAGAAATCAGGCAGTTACAACCTGGGTCAAAATCAAATGAAATCCCCTCTCCTGCTATGATTATTCACCTCTTGTTTCTTTGACTCATCTTCTGCACTCATCACCCATGTAATGCTCACCATGAAATATTTAACCAAATGAAACAGCTAGTTTTGAAAAGAATAAGCCTGTGAATTTATCTGATTTAGGGTCAAAAATCAGGTAACTTTTTTTGCTTGAATTTTGTATTTCAGATATCTGTTTTCTCCCTGATTTTTCTAGCTTTGGATTCTACCAAATTCAGGTGTCCATCTTTTTTTTTTCTAACATTAGAAAAACACTTGCAAATGGATAACATATTATTTAGGACCACATCAGTACAATGTGCAGGCCCAACCAGTTGCCACCCAAGTTTTTAGCGGGTGTTGGAGGAAGCACCTGTCAAATTGTCCGTCCAAGCAAACCTACCCGTTTGCTGCTCTCCTCCTCCTGGGCCTTCCTGAACTCATGTTCAAGAGAGCAATCCAGCTCATTGAAGAGCCCCACTTCCTCGCAGTTCTTCAGGAATCTCGTTGGGGTCGGAGTCTGATCTGAAAACAGAAACCGAGTCATCACACAAGGGATCTTTTCCTTGAAAAACAGTGGCAAGCATGAGCTAAATTCACTAATCCCCTCCCCTCACCTTAATTAAGATGCCGATTGGCCACCCATCAACTTAGAGCCTTTTAAATAAAATGAGAATAAGGAAGAAAATAAAACCATAAATCCCAAAGGAGGACCACAATCTGTAGTGGGCTGCAGTGTGTGAGGGTTTTGCAAACTTCCCTCCAGACAACTTCAGGAGATCCCTCCAACTTTTGGGGATCCGTATCTTATGAACATGCCCTGCAATGTGTGGAATGACTTTTTTTAACTGGGAAAAAATGATTTCACTAAAATCAGGCCAAAATATCTGATAAGCCAATGGTAAGCCTGATTTCAGCAGGTTAGGAGAAAAAAAAAGATTTTGTAAATCTTTGTATCAAACAAAAAGAAACAATCATGTTAAGTCCTTTTTCTTAATGGAGAAGGAAAATTTAGTAATACTATCTCTCATTTTGAAAGTCACAGAGGATGATAGAAGGTTCCAAGTCAAACACGTTCAGCTTCCATCTGCTAAAAATATAATTATTAATTTTATTTTCCTTTTCTATGGCCAAAAGAATGTCTGAGAATACTCTTTAAAAGGAATAGAATTTCTTTCATATTTTTGACTGTCTAGAGAGCTTACTAACTTAGAAAACTGCAGGACCTGAAACCACTATATGTGGCTTAAAATTTACCCCACAGTTGCAGTTTACAAAATATTTTTGCACACATTCTGTAGAATCTAGATCTCACAACCACTATATGTGGCTTAAAATTTACCCCACAGTTGCAGTTTACAAAATATTTTTGCACACAATTCTGTAGAATCTAGATCTCCTCTAAAATAAATAGAGGAGAATTATAATAATTAAGGATGGTCATCTTCCTTGGTAAAGGTGTATTTGAGTTAACATGAACAAAACTGTATAAACTGCCCCTTTTTCAGAAATGGAAGATATAAGAACCAGACAGAACAATGGAGGGAAGTCTGGCTATGCCAATTATTTTGCAAATGAGGAAAACTAAAGCCCTGAGTGATTAAGGCCTTGTTCAAGGTCTCCCAGGTAAATGTGGTGACAGGAAGATTATACCCAAGGTCTCAGTGCTATTGCCACAATGTACACGTACTATTACCCCTTGAGCCTACAGCAGTCACTGCTACATTCATAATGGCATTTGTCTGGACTGACCTATACTCAGTCTCAAAATCTTTTACTGCACAGTTGTCTAGGACGTCATCACAGGTCAACTGAAAAGTACCTGAAGTTGAAATGAATATTCCATTTCTGCGTTCTCTTTATAAATTCCTATGACAATAAACTAGAATCATATTTGCTTTTCTAAGTCAGAGAGAGAGCAGATAATCCCAGTAAATTACCCATTGATATTCAAAGAAATAGCTTAATACACATGGAGCTGAAAATAGTTTGATATCCCCATTCATTCAGCCCTTCTCGGGCAACGTCTAATGATTCCCTATGAGCAAGGGGCTTTCCAACCTATTCATCACCCAAATGGTTGACTTGGAGTCCCATGCAGCAAAATCCCATTTACACTTTTCCCCATTCTTAGCCCCACATCCAAGATAATGGGATCTATATGCAGTACACAGACAGCATACCACAGATGATCATAAATTGGATATTACAAGTGAAAGGTATGCAAAGGATTGGGTTTAACTGAAAATGGTTTTATTACCACATTTATTAAGATGTACACATATACATTTATAAATTCAGTATGTTATATATTGTGTATTTATAGAAGATAAAATTAGTATTTATGAAGAATTTTGCAGTTTACAGACATTTTTCACCTACATTGTCTAGGATCTAGATCTCACAAGATCCTATGAGATAATAAAGGTTCATATTATTTTTTAAATGGAGAAGTAAGTTAAGTACCTTGCACAGGGGCTCACAATTTGTAACCATCTTGTCACTATTAAGTCCTCTCTTACCTTCAGACATAACCCCTTCTCAATCTAAATTTCATGTTTTGCCTGGACTCTCCTCTCAGGTCTGAAAGACTCTGTTGTAGGTGTAAAAGACAACACTGACACCCCAGAAATCTAGATTTTAGAATCACGTGATTTGGGGGAAACTGCCTACATTCTCTGGACTTAATATTCCTCCTCTTTCAAATGAAGTTCTAAAGTTGTATGATTCTGTGAATCATAAAATGACCACCATAATGAGTTCACTTCAAAAGGATAGCAGGTCAAAGAAACATGACCATTTAAAGGACAGCTAAATGGGAACATCAGTAGGACCTGAGTAAACACTAGGAATTAGGCCAGAAGTAAGGGCTAGATATACAGATGTTTTCTGAACAGAAGGTGTAAGTAGATAAAACCTGACAGTGGAAATAAAAGGATATGTGTGGTATGTGTGTAATACATTCTTCCATTTACACGGTGCTTATTCCATAAGCATGTCGTGCTTATTTCAGGCATAGTGATAAGTGTTTCGTATGCTCCATCTCATTAATTTTCACAAAGACCACATTAAGTAGAAATTATTTTCCTCAATTTACTTAAGAGAAAACTGAAACTCGCCCCAGGGCCCATTTAGAAACTGAGTCACATAATTGTACTAGTCATTAAAAATCCTAATAATCCTTGGTTTTTTTAAACATCTTTTATATCCCTCATACAATAGCACTGCATTACAATCCTACAGTCTACTATCTTGCAGGAACATTTCTAGGACTAAAGACCTGAGAAAACATCACATAAAAGAACTAAAGTATTAGAACACTTGTCATCGTAGGAATTTAGTTTTCCAGGCTTTAATTCTGTTTCTTTGTTAGACATTTACAAGTTGAGAGCTAGGACTCCAGGTACAGGGAATAATAATCCTGCTATGTAGCAGGCTCCATATGAGATGAGTTCCAATTCATGAGATGACTTCATGAGATGATCCATAAAATCAAATTCAGACTAGCATTTGGGGGACCAAGCAAAGTTGAGGGATGTTTTCTGTCCCCTCTAAAGTAAAATTATTCCTAGATACCAGCACAAGCCCACATACATCAGCAAAGGAGACTGAAGTTGCATGGCACAGAGATAGTAACGGCATTGTCCATCATCATGAGCCTCTGCAGCAATAAGGAAATAAAAGCTGTGAGGCAAGGAGGCCACAGTGAGTTGGTTCCCTCCCACCCCACAGCAGAAGACCCAGATGAAGGCTCAGTGGTGTGACCAAATATGACTGTGCTGGGTGACATAGTGAGGGAAAAGCAAAATAGGCATCTATATCCACATTTGGAATAGATAATACACCCTGTTTCTAATTTTTAATTCATTGCCTTATTGTGAATGAGCTATTCTTTCTAGTTACAACAGCAACCAGACAATGTAAATTCACTTTCATTTTAACATTTATTAGAATTAATACAGGGTCTCTAGCTGTCTTTGATCCCACCCACATGGTACCAGTTCCAAGTAAGCCAGAAAATGTGCAAATCTTCAAAAAGGGGACAGCTAAATCCATCAGCAGCTTAAATAAAAGAAGAAGAGTTTCTCAGCCACAGAAATGCCTTGTCAAATAACAATTCCAGCTGAAATTAGACATGAGCTAAGTGGGTAATATCCAGGGCCATAAATTAAAATTCTTGTAAACCATACCTATGAGAATCAAGAACATGAGCTACTTACTGGCTACAGCACCAGTAGTTTTAGATCTTGAATAATAGTGACCATGAATCTATTGATGTGTAGTATCAAAGGTGTGCTCAGGAGTAACAGGCCACATCCCAGTGACTTACAGGAACTGGTTCCAGTGGGAACTCAGAGTGGAGATGACTGTTTAAAATACTTCTGCTCACCTTTCTTTTAGTACTTCCCCCTTAGTGAGGACTGAGAAAAAAAGTGATGAAAATGATAAGCCAAATACAAACTAAACTAAAAGTTCATAAGTTTTGAGTCTGAACTTTACCCAAGTTGCAAGTATTTTACTGCCTTTGTAAATCTGAATTGGTGCTGCCTGAATACCTGCAAGTTAGTTTCTAGGGGAGAGTTTGCAAATAGTACACCAGGCTCTCAGGAGACCCAGGCACTTGGAGCCAGAGCAAGTAAGAGACCTTACCCACTTCTACTACTTGTCTCACATCCTTGGGGATTTCTCTACCAATTGTATAAGAAAGAATGACACCAAATGGATTTTTAAAATTCCTATGTAAAGTTTGTCATATTTTAATGTCTAGTTCACTTCCTGGGATGGTGAGTCTGTTACTTGAAAACAGGGGCACCTTTCCATAGAATCATGCCTCTGATTTCATAGAATCATACCTAGTAAATAACTAGGTAGAGGATACTTGCCATGAAGAGACTCTACTTGTATATCTACCCAGAAGGGTGCCACAAACTTGGCATTATGATTTAGGAATTCACCCATCAGTTATATGATAGGAAATCCTGCACAAAGACAAGTATATGGCTAGAACTATTACAACAAAGAAAAGCAACTTGATAAATTTTCCAGTCAATCCACAATCTGCCTAGCATCAACTGCTTCAGCCACAGCAAGTGTGATTTTTCCAAAGTCTAAATGACAAGCACAAAGCTAAAGCCTGAAACCTGATTCTTCTTTTAAAAAGTGTTTAATCTGCTCTACATTTAATAATAGATTGTTTCAGAGCTATGTTTGAGTTATACATATATATATGTATATGTTTGTCTATGTTTTGTTTTCTTCAGTGATAAAGAAGGAAGGTGACAGTCATCAATTTAAAAAAATTAAAAAAGAAAAAACAAGCAGAGCTACCATCATATAGCAGAGGAGAAGAATGTGAACACCCTAAGCAAAATTTTCTCTTCGATTGGTCTGATATTCTCAACTATGATATTATTAAAGGACTATGTAAAGTAATCTTATATCATTTTGTATTAAATTAAAACCTTACTAATTCAGTGATAAGAAACATGAGTTTGAATTAATGGCCATTCTAATTATACCATTTT